TGTGTCACATTGTAAACCTCATTATTTTAACACTATCAAAGAAAAGAAATTTTAAACAAAATTAGTGTTTGCTATTTATGAAAATTTGACAAGTCCTATAAAGCACTGTTGTTGCATAGATCATTTGTCATATAATTATAGAGATGAGCATTGGAGTGTTAAGGCGTTTATTAATGTTGATTCTGATAGGTTTAGAAACTTTGACATACTGTTTTGGAAAATAACACACAGCTACTCATTTGGAAACTTATAGTACAAGAAAAGCATTCCAAACCCTGAATTTTGTCAAAAGATGTATTTGTTAAAATCATCTTCCAAAATGTGTAAAACTTTAGACTTGGACTCAGAAGACCTAAATTCAAGTTCTGGTTATGCCACTAATTTGTTACACAATGTTGGCAAGTCACTTGACTTTTTTCTAAGTATCTGTTTTTCCATGTCTAAAATGAGATAGTTAGTGGAACTTAAACATGAATATAGAATAACAAGGTTCTGTCTGTTCCCACATTTGACTTCAAGGTCTGACAGAATTGAGTGGTATATGCTTATCATTCACTAAATATTTATTGCATGAACTTAAGGTGACTATAATTGTAGCATTCCATGATTTTATGATATAAATTTCAAGAATTTCTAAAGAATATGAAATTATCAAGATACAAATATGCAGACACCCACACACTTAAAATGAGATGATGCCAAGTATTAAGAGAGTTTGCATTATTCCTTTGTCAGAAGAGGAAAAAAGAACTTTAAAATAACTGCTTTCCTTAATCTATTGGATTAATCTAACTTTTCTCTGCATAATCAAATTTAAGGAAGCATGACTTTTAGAATTTTCAGAAACTTTTTTCATTGACATACTTAATGACAAGAAAAAGCTGAGTCTATGGATCTTTATCTACACATATTTACTACTAATAAAAGAGTAATCTAAGGCAACTAACTTACAACTCAGGTATATATTTCCATTTACTTCCTTGGAAGATAAAATACACTTGGATGTGTTAACTTCAGACCAAGCTGGTAAAGATTCTTTTTGATTTAATTTTATCTTAGCTTACTGGGCTAGCTAAAATTGTCCATTATAGTCCTGAATTGTCACTTTCCATAAATATCTCATTTTGCATTTTCCTTTGCACGTCTTTTTTAATCCTTTCCTTTCCATTTAGCTTCCCTCATTTTCAACCAAGATTTTTTTTCTTAGATTAAACTCCTTTACCTAAAGGAATGAATAAATGATTATTTCCTAGAGGCAGTTATATTTTAAAAGAAAACTATTCCTTACCAGGGGTATCCAACCTTTTGGTGTCTCTGGGCCATACTGGACGAAGAAGACTTGCCTTGGGCCATGCATTAAGTATACAAACACTAATGAAAACTGATGAACAAAAAAAGGTTTTATGTAAATTTATGATTTTGTGTTGGACCACATTCATAGCCATCCTTGGCCATGGATTGGACACCCCTACACCTAAACAAATCTCTAATTGGCCAAATTTCAGGCAATTTATCAATTGCACTAGACTGCAGGTGTTTCCCATATCCCATATAATATATAGGTAATAGTCTAGTAGAGTGGTTCTTCAAAGTTCTGAAGCCATGGAAGCTCAAACAAAATGAGGCAGCAGCCCAGTGTATAGAGGAGATACTGATTTAAGTACCCTGGTGCAAGCAGGGATGGAAATCTAGAACCTTCCGCACTCATCCTGCTTCTTTTCTACCAGCCACTGCTGTGTAGAAATACACCTCAGGACAACGCTGGTAAAAGGCCAGGCCATGTTCTCATACCAATGCACAAACCAAGTGAGAGAATGGGTGATATAACTCACTCTCCAGCAGCCTAAAGGAACCTGTAGATGTCTATTGCAATAATAAATCACATTCACATTTTTTGACACTTTGAGAATGTAGTGAAATGAGTAGTGAGCAGAATAAGCAATTCAGATTTTGCCGATTATTCTCTATTTCTACTTCATGTTTGAAACTTTGGTGAGTTACAAAATAAATATGGTCAACTAAGTGTATTCCTGAAGTCAGTAGTACTATTTCTAGCTCCTTTAATATAAGCGTTTCCCCCTAGTTTGGGTTTTCCCATATTCATACTTTGAATTTAATTCAACCACCAAAACAATTGCTTTCTCCCCTGAAACAAAACGTCCAGTGGTATTTTCCCACCAGTAAAGGTTTTGAAGAAGATATGCTCCAGAAAGAACACCAGATCCACTTTTTTTTTTTTACATTTCTCACCCAGTAGCACCTCTAAACCAACAGTTTCCAAATCAAACTCTTTCACCTTCCCTCAAAATCTGACCCTTCTCCTGGTTAATGGTCAATGGTTCTGCCATCTATCCAATCACAGAGCTAAAACCTTAAAGTCACTATAAAAACAGCACCATTAAATTACTGGGGCTCTAATCTAGGCATATTATATGCTGATCAGGATTTTTCAACTTCAGCACCTCCAATGTTTGGGGCAGGATGCTTCTCAGTTGTGGAGGTTGTCCTGTGCATTGTAGATGTTTTGTAGCATCCCTGGCCTCTACCCAATAGATGCCAGTAGCCTGACCCCCACCCACTTCTAGGCTTCACAATGGAAAATGCTTGCAGGCATTGCCAAATGTCTGCTGGAGACAAAATTAACTCTGTCTAAGATCTACTAATATGGATTATGTCTTTATTCCTTAAAATACCCAACAAAGTAAGTAATGTAACTTCATTCCACATCACACAGTTTTGGAAACTGGGCCTCTGAGAAATTAAGAGACTTAGCCTTGATCATGTGTCTATAATGTGGCAAACTTGGGTCAATGTACTGTATAAATTATCTCCTCTTCTCTCTGGGCTTCTGGTGCTCAGAACTCCTTTGCATTTAGTTGTTGTTTTTAAATCTAATCATGTTAATCTTTCACTTGGAATGTCTTGATTTTGCTTCCTGCTTTCTATTTCCCTTAGTTCAGACCCATATTTCTTACCTAGATTATAATACCTGGATCCTTAATTTATCTCTCAGATTTCAGTCCCTTTATTTTCAATCTCTCTTTTATTTTACACTGTTAGTAGAGCTAGCTTTCTCAAATAGGTATTATTAGAGAACTGCACTATTGAAAAAAACACATTGCCTATAGCAGTGGTCTTAAAAGGTCGTTGTTGATTAGGTTCCACTTATAGGTGAGATCATATGGTATTTGTCTTTTATTGCCTGGCTTATTTCACTTAGCATAATGTTCTCCAGTTCCATCCATGCTGTCACAAAGGATAGGAGCTCCTTCATTCTTTCTGCTGCTTAGTATTCCATTATATAAGTGTACCATAGTTTTTTTTTTATCCACTCATTTACCGGTGGGCATTTAGGTTGCTTCTAGCACTTGGCTATTGTAAATTATGCCACTATGAGCATTGGGGTGCATAGGTTCTTTTGAATTGGTGTTTTGGGATTCTTAGCATATAATCCCAGCAGTGGTATTGCTGGGTCAAAAGGCAGGCAAAATATAACCAGAAACATTGAAATAAAGAACAAACTGACAGTAATCAGAGGGGAGGAGGGAAAGGATAATTGGGGAAGATAGGGGAAGGGCCATCAAGGAGCATGTATAAAGGACACATGGACAAACCCAAAAGGGGTAGGTTCGAGGGTGGGAGGCAGGGATAGGTGGGGAGGGGGCCATTGTGAGGTGAAAATGGAGACAACTGTACTTGAACAACAATAAAAAATAAATTTAAAGACAAAAAAGTTGTTTGTGGCATCAACAGCATCTCCTGGAATCTTGTTAAAAATGCAAATCCTTAGGCCTCATTCTAAACCTATCGAATCAAAAACTCAGGTTAGGGCCCAGAGTTTTTTAAGACATACACTCCAGATGGTTCTGGTGCTGTTAAAGTTTGAGAACCTCTGGCCTACTTCATAGAGCTCTAAAGCCTTAGGGTGCCATGGAAACCCTGACTCCTTTTCTCCCGTGGTTCTGCCACTACCTTCTCCCCTTCTGTCCTACCCCAATATTTGCTTTATCATGTTTCAATTTCATTCTCTCAATAGCCACCAAACATGTATCTCTGTTCTAAGCACTATAATATAGCAAGACAATCCAGCTCCTAAATGGCTCACTGGCCTGGGGCTTGGGTGCTCCAGCTACCTCACCCCATCTGGAGTTAGGAATAGATGTTGTCATTTTAAACTGTAAGTCTGCTTTGCATCTCCTTATGGTGAATTCCTATGTCTTTCATGGCTCATTCTCAAATGTCCTTTTTCCTTGAATTATGCAGAGGGCTAACCCCAGTTTCCCGGAGCACCCACTTGTTATTTTATTTATGGTGGCACCAGCATCTGTTTATCTGTCCCTAGAATACAGGTTTTGTGAGGGAAGAGCCTTCTCTCATCTTTGTATAACCAGCATTATGACCATGGTGAAAACTCCAGTTCACATGAGAATCACCTGTGAGCATTTTAAAACTACCCCAGTGCCTACAGAAGCAGAATCTTACAAATCTGTATTTTTAAAAATCCCCACATCATACCTGAATCATTGCCCAATGTCTTGCACAGAGCAGATATTTAACCAATATTTCTTTACTAAGTCTAATCAATGACTTAGCCAGGCTGCCTGGAGAACATCTCTGCCCTCCCCCTCAGCTTGTTTCTTCAGTTTTGTGTTTTCTCTGCTTTTGATTTCAGTTTCCATTTCCTTTAACTTGGACGTACTCATACAACAATCAAAGAGTAGTCATCACTGTTAAAGTCAAGTTTTTGTTTAAATGTATTAAAGTACTGACTTAATCTCTGATATCTGAAGGTTAATATACAGTCTCAGCAGTAACCTCAAATTCGGGTTACCTGTGAAACAATCCCTAAAGTGTCTTACAATATGTCCATGACTGATCATAGAATAGTTACCTTTATTATCTTCTAAAGTTGTTTGTGAGACTTTAAACTGACTCACCTATCGCAGCCAAGTCAGCTCAACTCAGCACCCTGCCAGGGGCGGGGCGGCCATGGCGGGAGCACTTACCTGAGATTACGTCCGGGATGCCCCAGTGGAGCACGAATGGGGAAGTCCCCAGGGCGGGCGCAATCTACAACGGTAGGCAAGAAATCGAAACTCAGCTGTTGAAACCGCTGCCCCTGGTCTTTGGAATCGCATCACGAGACTCGCTAAGCAACCCAGCCTGAAACCCCACTGAGGCTGCGGCACCCGGGGCCCAGCGGACTCAGAACCATGTACACTCGCAGTAGGCTGTTGGGCTCCGGGCTCGGCTCCTCCTCCGCCTCCCGCCCGGCCCGGGACCCCTCTGGGCAGCCTCGAGAGCCGGACCCGCTGCAAGGCCCGGAGCAAGGTTTGAAGGCGACTTCAGAGAACCCTTTGCGGGAGAGAGTGGAGCACACGAGCCAGAGACTGTAAGTTTTCACAACAGGTCTTGGAGGGAGGGGTCCGGGGAAGGGCCGGATCCTAGATCCCCTGACATACTGACTGACACCTTCTTGATCATTAGAGTTTGAAACCGCGTTAGCCCAAGCAAAAGACACAAATTGAATGTGCCGGTCTGCGGTTCTTTTATCTAAGTCCTCATTTCTTTCATGATCACTAGTCTCCTGATTCTGGTGACTGGCTACAGGTTTGAAAGAAGTGGATGTGGAGAGACTGCCATGGCTTCTTACTAATTTCCAGGTATCTTCAGAACTCATCCTCTAACAAGCATGACAAAATTTTCTTTCTTGTATTAAAATTTGGTACCGTGAATGGTATCTCTACATCAGCTGCTAGGTAAGGGTGAAGAGGGAAAGTGCTATACTATGGTGGTAGATCCAAATGCTGCCTCCCAACAAAACTCCCAGATAAACTAGCCACTAGGACCAGTGGAATTAGACCAAGAGAGGAAGTGACTGCAGTTTCCTGTCCCTGATGTTAAGTGCTCTTCATTGGAACAGACTGATACAATTTACTCTTGATCTTTAGTTCTGGGACTACAGTTGGTATTTGGAGAACATTTATGCAAAATGTCAGTGGTTCTCTCTTTCTGCCTCATGGAATGAGCTTCTATACCTCAACAGTATGGTTTGTAAAGACATTATTGCTTGTGAATTAGGACTGTCCAAATGGTTTCATTTATAGTTCCCCCTTTTCATCAACTTGTAGTCACATGAAAGACAAATGCTGGTTGCTAAGAAACAGTACATAACCTTATGACCAATAACCAGATTTTCTTTCATCTCTTAACTTTTGGGAGAATTCGTAAGTAGCAGTCATTTAATATTATTCAGTTTAGGGTTAACCTTAGTTGAGGTAGATAATCCAGGTGATTTCAATGCGAAATTGCTGTGTTTCCCTTTCAGAGTAAGAGGTATCATACCATAACAGAAGCTCATTAATTTCAATTCAGTGTTTAACAATCAGGCCTAATTTGTTCACTCTTAATATGAGCTTAATTATACAATGAGGAGTTGGAATTTGACCTTGTTTTGTGTACATACTTCCATGTATTCATTAGGTAAGCCCCAATGTGGGCACAAGAGCATCAGCTTTGATGCCAGACAGACTTGGGTTCAAGTTCTGACTGTGCCATTATTTGCACTATGAACTTCAATAAGGTGTTTAGCTACTTTATGCCTCAGTTTGTTACTACTTAAAATGAGTTAATACTAACCTCTAAGTGTTTGTTTTTTAGTATGTGTGTGCATGTTTGTGTATATGCATGGATATTTTGCTGGATACAAATTTGCATCATTTTATTGGATATTTGCTTTGTATGTTTATGCAAAGCAAATAAATATCTAGTGAAATATTGGTTGCTGATAGTTTGTTAAACATGTTTATTGACCAAGTACTGTGCTGTGACCCTAAAGTGGAGTGTTTGTGCCTTGTAAAAACATACTGATTTAAAACACTTACTTACATATAAATATAAAAACATTTTAAGACAGTCTCTTAAAATGATTTCTGAGGATCATTACCTAATATGCTCCAAAGCAAAGCTGAGTTCTTGGCTATATTTGGATTTAAATCATTATAAGTATTTACTAATTCATATTGGTTTCTAAATTATTTTTAGTTGATGATTTTTGTCCCTAAATATCATAAGCTATCTACACAGACTTAAAGAGAAAAAAAGCTCCCACAAATTTCTGATCCAAAATAATCTTTTACCCTTTCTTTCAATATTTTTTTTGTTTGTAAACACCTTATTCATATCTAGATAACTAAGGCTAAGATACGCGTTTTTCTGGAAGGGATTTTTTTTTACCTCACTTTATACAATTCCAGGCATTAGGCTCTTACCTGTGATCATAATATAGGCAGAATATTCAGATACTTGTCTATAACCATTCCTGGATCCTTTTGATGCTGTTTGGAGGAAATCAAAATACATTCTGAAAATGAACCCACAGTGCAGAATTTTACTAAACAGTTAGTTACCTTTAACATAATGTGCATACAAATTCAGTTTACCTTAATGTATTTGTAGCCTACTTTACACTGAGAACTGCAGAGACTTAAAGATGAGCAGTAATAACAGCAAACACATGTTATGCTTGGTATGTGAAAGTACATGACATGTATTAGATCCTTCAATCCTTACAACAACCCTGTAATATAAGAGAGGATCTCTAGCTCTGAATATTTAATTTAAAATATAAGGACAAAATACTCAACAAAAAACAACCCTGTATGAGGCTTATGGTGTAACTGATGGGACAGACAGTTATAATATAATTACATGAATAACTCTTTATATACATTATAAAGGGAATCCAGGGCCAGAGCTAGTTTTGGGAGCCAAAAAGGCCATCCTAAGAGGTGATGTTTCAGCTGCCAGTCCACAGGATAATTAGGAGTTGCGTGTTTTTGTTTTTGTTTTCACAAATGTCATTCCAACACCAAGTAACTACAATTCAGTTCTGACTCTAACAATTCAGAGTTAGCACAGGTACCCCAAATTAAGGGTTAAGTCTTTTCCCACTTTAGGAGCAAGCCATAAGTGGGGTCCCCAGGATACTCACATTTCTGCCCAGCTGACAACAAATTCGGAGTTTCCATGACTTTTCTCCATCTCTAGATTCAGGAATTCACTAGAATGAATTACAGAACTATGGAGACCACTATACTTATGATTACAGTTTTACTTTAAAGTATATAACTCAGGAACACTTAAATCAGAGTCATAGGGCGAAATATAGGGGGATATTGTATAGCTCTGTAGATGGGTGGTCACCTTCCTGGCACCTTGATGTGCTCACCAATTTGTAAGCTCCCCAAACTTCAATGTTCAAGAATTTATTTAACAAAATTTTATTATTTACTTATATTTTTGGTAGTTTATTTTTATTGTAATACTCTAATCAATCACATGGTTGGTTTTTGTGGTAAATAGCTCCCATCCTGAAGCTTCCTAGAGCCTCCCACCTGGAGTCATCTATTGTATTAGCATATAACTCAGGTTTTTATTACTTGGAATTACAATGATTTTAAGAGTTCTATGCCAGGAGCCAGGGAAAAAGACTAAGTATTTATTTATTTTTTATTATACCACAGGAGTTTAAGTGGCTTCTCTGGCAACGAGGGAAGCTTGCTACTCAGGTCTCCTTCAAAAGAACTTCCTGTGAGGGGCATAGTAAATTGACGGCCTCAACTATCACTTTTTGATCCACGACTTTGGGTTGAGAGCATACTTATTCTGCATTCTTCCCAGCCAGTGTCTGAGTGGTCCAGGGTACTAATGCCAGCCCAGTCCTGTCTGCGTGGAACTCCTCTATTGGTCAGTGTTTGCCAGAAGGCTCCCCATTGACCTATCCAAGACTTGCTCAGAACTGTATAGCAGCAGTCTGAGCTCTTCCTTCTCAATCTCCATGTTTTCTCTCCTTTCATACGTATTAGACTTGCTCACGTTCTCAAGGCTTTCCTTGACTATTCCTGCCTGTTCCCCTTTTATCCTTTACAGGCATTCCCCCAGTAAATCTCTTCCATGCCTAATTCCACCTTGATGTCTGCTTCTAGGAGAGCCCAAAGTGACACAGCCTTTAAGATGCACTATACCCCTGACCACAGCAGCTTAGACACTATGTATGTTGGAGTGTTCTACATGTGTGCTGGGGAAACCCACGCCTATGTCTCAATTCCTCCCTTAGAGTTCAAGAGACATTCCCTAGCTTTCTTACTCTAACTTCAATGCTTTCCATAGCTCATTGTACTACTGGAAAGGAAATAATCCTGGTAACTAATTATTTTCCTTCCCTTCACCCTCCAACTCTCAAAGAGTGAAGGGAGATTAAAGGTGTTACTGGACAGGGGCCTGGCCTTGAGTGAATCTGTCTAGGGCCAGCAGGTAGTATGTGGGTTGTTGACTTTGTATAGGAAAGATTTCAGAGCATGAGTCCAGGTGATTATGAGGGTATGTTTATTGAAGCTGGGGGCAATGAAACAAGGAAGAGCCTAGGACAGAAGAAGCAAGAAGAGAGAGCCTAGACTGGGCTTCCTTAACTCACTGGGAAGTCAGAGAAAAGGGGGCCTGGAGGACAAGTTCAGGGGATTAGCCTGGGACGAGCTGCTGCTGCTCATTGCTCCCCTGGTTACAAGTCTTATGGGGTCCCTTAGAGTTTAGGAGATGCTGTGCCTGTGAGGGAAGAAGAGGGGGAAGGGAATGGTGCAGGCTGTTCTCCAGAGGGAAAGCAGGAGCTGGGTCCATTGTCTTAGAGCTTTTATCTCTCTCTTGCAGGTGGGAATCTTAGGGGAGGTCTCAGGGAAGAGTTTCAGCAAAATATTCATCAGTTTTCCAGGTGTGCTTTTTCAGGGCTGTGGTTTCTACTGATTGGTCAGTGCCATGGCTGTGGGTCTTCAGTCATTGCAGTTGGGTTCTGGTGTCACCCACCTGTTTTTTCTGCTTTTCTGGCCTTGGAGCTGAAATACAACTGAGGCCTAGATATATCCACTTCTGCATCTGACTGTAAATTGCTCAGCCAGTTTGTTCATCTATTTGTCTCAGTTTCTCCATTCCACTTATCCTAACTTACTGGCCTGTCTCAAAGGATGGCTTAGTAAGACCACTTATTAATGGCCAATCCCTGGTTTTTCTTTCTTTTCCCCTCAGATAGCACTGTGGTACATTAGTATTAAACATTTGGTAAATATAAATTGGGGTAGAATGTGGGATATGTGATACCATAGTGATTAAGTTATAGTATTACTCCAATTTTTATAAACATAACTTTTAATAATTGATATGCATATTTTTAAAAAATATGTTTTGATTATACTATTACAGTTGTCCTATTTCCCTCCCTTTATTCCCCTCTGCCCTGCACACCACCTCCCACCTGCATTCCCCTCCTTTAGTTCAAGTCCATGGGTCAGACATATAAGTTCTTTGGCTTCTCCATTTCCTATACTATTCTTAACCTCCCCC